CACACACGCACACACACACACACACACACACACGCACACACACACTGACACACTCAAACTGGCCTCAATTGGTACAAGAAGGAAATTTTGACAGGTATGCCTATTATTATAGCCTATACATGTATACACAAAAAATGTGTGTGTAAAATGGGTTGATGCTTTTCTCTCAACCCTTCCCTTTTAGACCATTTGTAAAGCTGTTCTTCACCAGTAACTTTTTCAGCAACATTAATGTCGAAAAAATAAAGATCTAGGTCTAGACGTAGATTCTAGGCCTAAATTCTATGTGATGATAAAACAGGTCTCATACGTGTTAATTAATTAAGGGTGTACCATACATTATGAGACAGAACCAATCGATGCGTTTAGCTCGCAAGCGGAAGTCAGTTCCTTCCACAAGTGCGTGACATAACCAAAACAACACATTCCTTGAGTCACAGTGGCTGCGGTAACTGATAGGCAGGCTTATTTATCCGTTTTACTTCATGTTTATCTTTGACAGTTGACTTTGATGACCTTTTCCGGAAATGGTAAAGCTTTATGTGAATTTCTATTGCTGATTTCCCTCCTCTGTACTGACCCAGCGTCGTTCGTGTCTCAAAGGTAAGTAGCAAAAAGCAAAGCAGAGTTCTCTCTCTGCTAGACCTTGGCCTTGCCTTGATCTAGAATTTAGATTTTCTAGACACAGGGCAGTCTACAACACTATACTGCCACGTTAATGTAATAGTAAAAGAGAACTCATTGTTTGAGGTTTGTGAGATTCACACCAGAGATCTTTTTGTAGATATAGATCTAGATATATCTAGATCTAGACTAGATTCTAGACCTGTTTTGTCATTGAATTGCCTCCCTCATCTTTGACAGCACAGAGTGACAGTTGTGGTTGTCGATTCCTGTTTCCAGAGGGCCAGGTCCCATCAGGATTGTCGGGTTGTCACACAATATTGCACCCTAATATAGTTTAAGAAGGCCTTGGCATCAGCTTCACACTTCACGTATAAATCTAGGTACAACAGACGGTTTTGAAGGTCGACAAGGGTTCAGAAGAATTGGTGGCAAAGGCGTGAATGCAAGCAAGGCAGCAAACAATACAAGGCCAAGGGGTTGTGGGTTCATATTGTATGATATCCCACTGTGTCTCAGTCAGTAAGAGGAACTTCCCTATGATCCACTCTAAAGTGCAATTTAGTCCAACAATTTTGCTGTTAGGATTAAGAACCTTTACATTCATGTATGATAACAGTATGAAATATTGTTCCAAGTTTCTCGTGTGGTATTTTTTTCATCGGAGTGATTATTCTCACCCGGGGTGAACATAAACTGGATATTATTCTCACCCGGGGTGAGAATAAAATTGATACTATTGTCACCCCGGGTGAGAATAACAACAGCCTACTATTCTCACCCGCTATTTTCGCTTCGCGCATCATAGGAGGACCCCTGTCACTGAGCGCTCCAGGCGACAAAACTCGCCTCCCCCCTCTCTCAATCCGTTGAGCGCACGAGGCGACTATTGTCGATTTGGGGGAAAACCTTATCTTTTGACCAAATAGCATCACCTTTTGTTGCTACAGTATTAATTTATTGGTTCTGTAATGAAAAATTTTACTCTTGAGTGGTTTAGCCAATCAAAATTAAGAAAAAAATATGACTAGGGTCAAAGTCAAAGGCACTGCGGCGCATTCCTTAAGAATAATCGTGGGTTCTTTTAGGGATAACTATTAAACATGTTCTTTTGTGTATGTAGTAAACAAAAGCCTATTCTAACATTACAATGACAAACTATTTTACAAAAATTATATTATTTCATTAGCTTTCAGTTAAGGCTATATTATTTTTAAAAACATACTACTCTGGCAAAGTGAATCCCTTTCTGAATTTAGAATATATTTACACTTGTCAAGGGTTTTGATGAAGAATATGCATGCTTACTCTCAACTCAAGATTTAAAAAAATGAAACAATAACAATCCCAGCAGGAGCCTAGAAAAATTGGCCAGTGCTCTGGGGCAGGTCACGATCTAACGGTCACTCTCTTACAATTCACAAATTATTTTCTATCGTCCGTTCTCAACTCCCAGGTAGACCTAAAAATCCATTGCATTCTCAGACCGAATTCTCACCCAGGGTGAGAATAACAATATATAATATTATAAATTCTCACCCTGGGTGAGAATAAAATGGATATTACCGGGTGAGAGTAAAATTATATTTTTATTTTTACTGCGGGGGAGAATAACGACAGCCTTTTTTCAAGTTGTTTTTTCCCTCTCTAGATCGATCTATGGAATGGATAAAAGTAGACTCAAAGTCAAAGCAAAGTATCATATTCTTCCTCTAATATATTAACCTTCTATACCCTAACTATACTTTATCGAAGTGACTATTTCTCAGAACGCTCGGGAAAGTGAACTTGATCTCTATTTCTCCGAACGGTTTCAGTTCTCGAGATTTTTTATTATAAAACAATATTTAGGCGTCATCTTTCATTCTGCGAGGACTGGGAAGAAGCATTTTTTGCATCAAATTCTATTTCCAGAGCTAGAATCTAGATCTAGAGATTTTAAAATTCTGAATATTCAGATACTTTAGTTGTGGATGGGGCAACATTCCCGGACTATACTTCATTTGAAAATGCCTTCAAAAGGTACTGCGAGAGGACAGGACTGCTTGACCTTGGCAGTAACCTATTTTGCTTTTAGTCACCCTTAAAGCAAACACTAAAATCCTTCATGTAAACAAAAAGAAATCCCTCCACGCCTCGTTCACACCTTGCACACGCACACTCACTCACACACACACACACAAACATACACACACACACACGCGCGCACAAGTTTTTGCAAATTATCAACAAATCTCGAGAACGGAAACCGTTCTGAGAAATAGAGTTCAAGTTTATTTTCCCGAGCTTTCGGAGAAATAGAGCTGACCTTACGTTATTACAACTGCTTGTCATATCCCTCCCTAGCCCAATCCCATTGTAGCCCCTGCCCTGTATGTTGCCTTTCCGATGAATTAAAACTTAATGAATAAGTGCACTATAATTTTAAAGATCCTAAGCTGCTAAGATCTAGATCTAGTTGAATTCATACCTCACTTTGTTGCTTTGTTAGATGAAGTTGATCTTTCAAGCTCTCAGACTCGACAGATTGCTTTAATTTTAAAAATACATTCAAGTATTGCACACCTGGTTTTTTTGGTTCTATTTCTCCGAACGTTCGGGAAAATAAACTTGAACTCTATTTCTCCGAACAGTTTCCGTTCCTGAGATTGATAATAAGCGAATGGAAAGGCCCGTGTGTGTGTGTGTGTGTGTGTGTGTGTGTGTGAGTGTGTCGTGTGTGTGTGTGTGTGTGCGTGTGCGTGTGAGTGGGTATGTGTGTTTATGTGAGTGGGTATGTGTGTGTGTGTGTGTGTCTGTGTGTG